GCAAGAGATCTCAGTATTTCTGAGTTTTTGAAAAACACATGTACTTTGTCAAAATCCTTCCGTTTTCACTCCCCATCGTACTTAGCTGAGTGGTGGAATCTGCCGGCAAATCACTCTTGTTGGCGAGGACACGTGATGTACCATCCCGCCCCCACCCTTCCACTCCCTTCCTCCCCCTCCGTCTTGCCCCTTCCTCTCCCAGCATCTGAAAAGCTGGAAGCTCTTGGAAGTGATCCGAGTGAGCGCATATGTCAATAGCCACCGTCGGTGACTCTCTTTTTCGAAGGTTGCTTGAAAGCAAGCTGATGGTAGCTCAAAACATTTATGGAAAGAAAATCACCTTGATTTGATTGATAATGTGAGTATTATCCAGACGTTTCTCGATTTTCTCGATTCTTGCGCGCTGATAAGCTCGCAGGTCAGCAATATGACGACTTATCAGTATTTTAAGCATTGAAGGCCCATTTTTCTGCAATAGAATCATCATTTTAATCTAGTTTAACAATAAATCAACGCATTCTATTATCCAGATTTAGTGACTGAAGATGAGAAGCATAATCATTCACCTGCAAATCGCTTCTCCCACAAAAAACATTTTTTTTCGGGAGTAAGATGACTGGTAATAAAATTGCGTTTTTCGGAATTATTGTAATGTCACGTAGTATGTCAAATACTGTTCTATGGTTTTTTGTTAGGAATGGCGTAAGGAACAATTGCGTCATTATGATGTAATACCCCGGTCCCTGGTTCAATCTTTGGACACCTATCCCTTAAAGTTTTGCAATCCTAGTAATCTTTGACCCCTGGTGTATAAAAGCACTCCGCCCCATTCCTGGGATCCAAAGCTATTCCTCGAGAGAGGCACTCATTTCGAATTATCCCTGTTCTGAAGAGCTTCCCCAGAACCTCACCACTTTTTGCATTGTCTTTTCCTATTCTACTTTGCGTTGCATTACTTTAGTTAATGCACATACCTATAAACAAATAAAATATATATATATATATAACTAGGTCTTATCAAACATACACACAGGGCACGCCACTGGTTTAGCAAGGCAACCTTTAGGGTCCGATAGTAACATGAAGAAAGAGGCAAGACACAATGCTGGCGGAACGGAAAGGGAGTGGGGGAAAAGGGATAGAAACATGATCAAAAGACCCAGCAAAGGCAGCGACTACTGAAACTGCGTTGGATATGTAACTGAGTCTTGGAAA